GCACGCACGCACGCACGCACGCACGCACGCACGCACGCACGCACGCACACACACACACACACACACACACACACACACACACACACACACACACATATTCTGACATTCGTCTGTCTGTTTGTCTGTCAACCTATCTGTCTGTTTGTCTGTCTGTCTGTCTGTCTGTCTGTCTGTCTGTCTGTCTGTCTGTCAACATGTTTGTCTGTCTGTCTGTGCATGTGTGTGTTTGTCTGTCTGTCTGTCTCTCTGTCTGTCTGTGTGTCTGTGTGTCTGTCTGTGTGTGTGTCTGTCTATCTGTCTGTTTGTCTGTCTGTCTGTGCATGTGTGTGTCTGTTTTTCATGTCTTTTGGCAGTTTGTCCCCGCCGTCTGTTTGTCTGTCTGCCTGTCTGTCTGTCTGTATGTTTGTCTATCTGTCTGTGCACATGTGTGTCTGTATGTCTGTCTGTCTCTCAGTCTGTCGCTCTGTCTGTTTGTCTATCTGCCTGTATGTCTGTCTATGTGTCTGTCTGTCTATGTGTCTGTCTGTATGTTTGTCTGTCTGTCTGTGCATGTGTGTGTATGTCTGCCTGTCTGTCTGTCTGTCTATTTCTCTATCTGCCAGTCTGTCCGTCTATGTGTATGTATGTCTATCTGTGTATTTGTCTGTCTGTCTTCCTATATGTCTCTCTCGCACACACACACACACACACACACACACACACACACACACAGGCATGCAACCTTGAACTTGGCTACTGCTTGCCAAAAACTTGCGAATGACATCTCTCTCCGAGGAGAATGACACCCAGTAGCCAACTTCGTCTGTCTGTTTGTCTGTCTGTTTTTCTGTCTCTCTTTATGTTTGTCTGTCTGTCTGGCTCGGGGTGTGTGTGTCTGTCAGTCTGTCAGTCTGTTAGTCTGTTTGTCTGTCTGTCTGTCTGTGTGTGGTGTGTGTGTCTGTCTGTCTGTCAACCATGCTGTCTATCTCTCTGTCCATATGTATGTGTGTGTGTGTCTCTCTGTACGTCTGTCTGTGTGTATGTGTATCTGTCTGTTTGTTTGTCTGCCACACACACACACACACACACACGCACACACACACACTCCTACACACACACACACACACACACACACACACACACACACACACACACACACACACACACA